CTGCTTTGGTCTGTGCTGTGTCTCATTTCAGTTGTGGTGAGAATAGTGACGTGATTAGCATTTTTAATAGGACTGGAATTTGTTCCTCCTACGCTGCTTGTTATTCCAGGGTGCGACATGAATTTGAGTTTAGTTCAGTCTGGTTTAATATTTTTGACTAAGTAAATGAGTAAAACTCTTTAAGATAATTGTTTTGACTATGTAAAATTGAAGCCAAATTGTTATGTGTTAACAACATAGAAAGGTTTCAATTGCTCATTGTAATTACCATTGTCAGCAAGTCTTCTCTTTTATTTCTGTTCATTATAGAAATTGTTCTTTCTTTGATGGCAGATTCTGTCCAGTAATTAGTCACTTGGTATATGGAAAGTGGAGGTCTACAGTGAAAGTATACACATGTATACAAGTAGATGATTGCTGATGAAAAGGTCTGATGATTTAACTATAAATATAGACTTCCACCCACGTAATGTATCACATGTACTACAGAGCACGAGGGAGTCATGGAGTTATGTCACAATGTGGGGTTTGTTTTCCATTCCGTTCTTCACTTGTCACATTACTTATATATGAAAGCTGGGAGCAGTGAGAGGTGCGTGGCTGTAGGAGTGCTCTCTTTCTCTGGGGACAGTGTTCTTGATCAGGTAACAGAATGAGGCTAGTTTTACCTCTCTTCCTCCCTCCTTCTCTCTCTCTCTCTCTCTCTCTCTCTCTCTCTCTCTCTCTTGCTCCCCCTCCCTCCCTCTCTCCACATTCCCTTCCTCTCCTTCTCTCTCTCTCTCTCTCTCTCACTTCTTCCCTCCCTCTCTCTCTTTCTCTCTCTTTCTCTCTCTTTTGGAAGTCAGGCACAAACAACAGTAGTCATTTTCACCAGCTCATAGGATTAGCTGCTTCATGTGCTCAGCTCAGAACAAATTGTGATCCATCATGCGGCTGTGAAGTACCATGGAACATTAATTAATAACAACTCTAAGACTACTGACCAGTGCAATATTAATACTGGCTCATCCACATCGAGGTTTATACTAGTATATATACAGTCTATTGTGTGGGTTGATAGCATTGGGGAGAATTATTACAAGCTGCAGAAGTTGTACAGTGTCTAATTTGACTTAAGGTGAGAAAACGATATCAGTAGTTTATAATAATCAGTAGTGGAAAGCTGTGAAAGTTGATGTTTTTAAAGAGCTATATTGATTTCAGGGTTATTTTGGTGTCTGGGTGATCATGTTTTTGTTTGTTCTTTGTTTTGTTGACTACAAAATTTAGTGGTTATTATTTATAGAAGGCTCAGGGACACGCGTCATATGATATATTTCTGTGGGGGGATTTTTTTGACAGAGGTAATGTGAACTTATGCTTTGTTAAGGGAACTTTGGAACGTTATTAATGGTTTGGAGAGAGAAGAAAATTGCACACATTTATCAGAGGTTATATGGAATTGTGCTCTGAAGGATTTTGTAAAACCACAGATCGAGTGATGTACGTTCTTGATGTGGCGGAATTTGTTTTCTTCTCTTTATATTTTTCTCTTTCTTTGAGCATGGGTAGTAATGTCATGGTTGATGGAAACAAAGAGAGTTGACATTGTCATTTGGTTTCAGTTTCTTTTTCTGCTGTTGGTTTCTTTTCTAAGCACATGATGTAATGCATTTGCAAGCATATAAATACATATACACAAATGCAAATATGCCTATTTATTTCATATGAGTATGTGTTGACCTTGTTTAATAATATTCATTTACCTTGTGTTTGTTCTACACTTAATTATCAATAGGATTTTATTAGTCATGGGATTTTTTTTATCTTTTCAGGAGTAACAACAACCAAATGGATAGATTAAAGCAACAGTAGAAATCACTGAATTCAAGGTAAGAAAAATTGTTTATTTCGAAACAATAAAAGCTTTATGATAAAATAAATTTAACAGTGATACAATTCTCTTATATTTTTCTTTCATCTGTATATGGCACTCTAGGAAAAAAAGGGGTCTTTGTTAATTTGCTTAAAATTCACAATCTACAAATGGGCTTAAATCAAAAAATGAAAGAAAAAAAAAAAGAATAATCACCAATCATCCAAAGGCCACATATAATCCATCAATCTTTAGGGTGGAGATTGTTCAGGAAATTAGATTGGATTGTTGATGTTTTTTCACTGGAAATGAACTTGGATTGTTATAAAATGAACAGAAATGAAGGGCATTGTATCATGGGAAAGTAGAGGGCAGTGGTAAATAGCTAATGATAATTTCGGGGGGGGGGTTACATTATGGCTGATAAACTGCTGTAGGATGAAGTCCAGAGTGTGTTTGTACGTGTGTTTGTATGTTTACAAAATTTAAGTTAATAAATGGTATCCTATCCGGTTGAAATTGACCTGAAGTCATGCATTCAATGTTTACAAATCCTCTCATAATGACAGTCCTAGATTTTCACTATTTGTAAAGCCATTTATATTTAACAGCTCTGCACTTTGAAAAAAACACCTATTTGATGGGACTTTTATCATCACCTTGAACATTTTTATGGTACTTCAATATGCGTAACAAAAATATCACCAAATATTAATGTGCAATCTACTTTTGATGACCCATTTACCATGGCAAATGTTCTTAGAGTATTTGCTAGAAGGGCTGTAATCAGATATATATATGTAGTATATTCAGTGTTTTGTCTTAAAGCTCTTTCGAGAAATAACCTAAAGATATGATATCAGATGCTAGTACAGAGCATCATTAGTGGTTGTGGTCACAGTTAGAAGTTGGAATTGTGGTAAACGTCCACCGAACTCGACCTTTTTATCCTCATATGGATTAGTTATGTTTTTGCAGCACAGTGAGATTTCTGTTTTGCCAGTTATTTACTGTATGCTAGTTATTTTATGTTGCCTTCATGATCATTGAAAAATAGGTATGGCTGTAGGATTCCTGAATTTTGGAGCATACATTAACTAACTATGGCTTGAGTTGATGTTATGTGAGGACTTCAAGTGCTAATGTATACAATTGTAACAGCCAATTCAGTTTTCTAAAGTTAAACCCTGAACACTAAATTTAAGGACATATACACATGCACATGCATACACACACACGTGCGCGATGTATTTCTATAAACATGCAAATGACAGTTTGCACCTTGTTCCACTTTTACCTATATAGATATTGAAAATAAGAGCATGTTTCACTGCAGCAGTCATAATAGATTCAGGGCAGTAGTAATCTGTGTGTTTGACAGCTGTAAATGTCTTTGGTCTCATGGTAGGATAGCATGCACGCAGAGAACAGGTACTTGTTCTGTTGTCAGTGCTGAACATAATCAGCCCGCGTGCAGCCTTATGCTGGGGATCTGCCTCTAAAACATACACATGTCAGGTACACAGTATGTTATTATGCAGACAGTGCAATCCTGGGTGATCTGCCATCAGCTGTATAGGACCTAGGGGACTTTTTAAAACGTATCAAGGTTGAAAGAGTTGATGTGTCTGCGAGATCATGTCCATTGTGCAGTCGTTGAATTTGGGAAATAGTGTAATATCTTAAATGACTTGACAGGATTTGAAATGTTTTTTGAGTTCATGTCGATCATGGAGTTGCGTGATCCATAGCAACCTTGCGCAGGCAGGATGATGTTGTTACCAGTGTTCAGTGTAGTATGACCCTCTAAGTACAAAAGAACTGCTCTGTCTAGTCTGTCTTCTGAGAAATTCGAGATGTCTAGGTAAGAAACCAGGTGCACTCTTGCATACATATATATATATCAGAATTTCCCCATGATCAATATGTTCACTGATTTGAATTGATGTTATAAAATGGTGTCAGTATGTGACTGGTCTTTTGATAAAAGATTCTTAATTGTTAAATGTGGATATCTTGGATGTATGTAGTGAATGTTTCCTCATGTGGCAATAATAATATAGCAGTGTGTGTATGTGTGTGCGCTTGCATGCAGTCTTGAACTGCCCTTTTGTGTGAGTTTACGCCATGCTGCATTTATCTTTTTTCGTTAGGGTCCATCCTTTTTCACATTATTTATTCCTTTTACTTATTTACAAATGCTGTCTTGTTTTCAAAATATTCAATGTTTTCGATTTTGAAATTGTAAATTCAATACAATCCCTGTATTTATTGATTCATTTATTTTCTCACCAGATGGCAGTATCTGCCTAGTCTTCCTGTCCAGATGCGAGTGTTCCAGAGCGTCTGCACTGGCGGCATCATCATGGAGTCCGACAGCAGTGCTGATTACAACGCCACTCCACACCACGAGGTGAGTGCCTGCACACACGTTTTCATGCAGGTACACCAAGGCTTTCCCTAGACAGCCCTCCAGTCCTCATTTTGACAGCCATTGGCCTGAGGAGACGGCCTAAAATTTATGGGTTTATTATTGGTTGGGCTTGCTTGGGTTGACTCCCTGTAAATTGTTTAACAAATTAAAGATTTACTATCTGGACTCCCTGTACCCCGAATCCTGGGGAAACTCATGAGACACACACGCACACACATGCATATACACATGTGTACACACACACACACACACACACACACACACACACACACACACAGTGATGTAGATAATGAAACTCCATGCACATGCATGTACACGCAGCAGTGCAGTGACGTACTGTAAATATGCACACACTTGCACTCTCACATGCATGTGTACAGAAACATGTATGGCAAACAATGCTTAATCTATAGTATACCACTTTCTACTGATGTATACTTTACACTTACTTCATTGTGCATAGCACATCCTGGCGGTTTACCTTGCAATATTTAAGCATGTATATGTGCCTATATAATGTAAGTGCATCTGCATACATGCTTAGTACTTGCATGGCAGTCAATTTGATACAGGTGGTATTGATTGTTTACAGTGGCCTGACCCTGATGCATATGTTCTATGCTTATCCAAAATGATTAGACAACAATATAAATAGATTGATAGATGGCTACTCGCTATCAGAATGCCAATCAAAGACTGAAAATTGTTCTTCTTTATTGTTTTATGAGAGTGACATCTAGACACATAACAAAAACTTGCTATGATGATTGACATGCAAAAATGTCAAATGACCAGGGTAGATAACCACCGTGTGACATTATGACAGTTCAAGACAATAGGAATGGACATGCAGTGATTACCATAGTCAGGAACGAGGGCAAAACAAAGTGATTATTGTCACCCTCTGACCACGTCAACCAGACCCGAGCGAGATAAAAGATAATTTGTTTGTTATTCCCACAATCATTGCGCCTACCTACGCTAGATGGCAGGGGTGATATCAACGTACTGAAAATGGAAGGAGTGCATAGTAAATTAGATACCAGTGTTTGAAACACTTTCACATTGCGGAGTTATTGACAGGGACTGGACAGCACATTGAGTTCTGTTGGAATTCCATTTGATTATTTGTCTACATTTCATTTATTCAGACAGTTTACAAACTGGATGAGAGCATACTCTATATTCATGTGTATTCTAGGGTATGACAGTGTAAGTACAGAGTGACAACAATGAGGGTATTATACTAATACACATTGTTTCTTGTCATGGAAATTTAATTTTTTTACTGGGGCATTTGTCACTTATATATAGTATTTTAATTTTAGGAATCGTTCCTCTCTCCCTCTCTCTCTCTCTCTCTCTCTCTTTTCTTTCTTTCTATGTTAATATAGTATGCTAGTAGTACCAGATGTTTATCCAACAATAAGAGTCAAGGATTCTCTAGTCAGGTTATCAGTACCTAGGTAATGAATTGTGCATCGTCTACCTGCAGCAATGTTATATTGTATTTGCACCTGTAATATTGCACCTGGTAGATCATGACCTACAGCAGAAATAAAAAAAACATGGTTATTTTCATCAAGGTAATGTAGTGCATGCACCAATGAACTCAATAACACTGGGTAAGTTAAATATGTTAAGAATTGTTTTTATTTTCATTTGTCTTTTTAACCTTGTTACAAACACTTGTTATAATTTGATTTAGAGGCATTTGATTTTGAGCAAGCCTGTTAGGTCTTGGACATATGTAATTTTTATGGCAAGATCACAAGTCACAGACTCTAGTTTGAATCTTTACCCTGATCATGACAAAAGGTTTAGTTTTAATGAATTAAAAAAATATGCCAGAATTTGTTTTCATATATATGCATATCATATAACTGGCAGGAAAAGAAGGATCTGACGTTCTGGTCTAACCAGAGGGAGTTTAAAATCAGAATTGCAGATTTACCCACCTGAAGATATTATTGTATATTATTTCGTTTCTGACTTCTTGCAGGTATTTCATGTCAGACGTCATATTCTTGTCAGTGGTCTGATTTTGCCTATCAAGTGTACATGACGGCGCCATGATAACTTTGCATTACATTCTAGTTAGAGAAAATAACGAAGAGTAAAATTCTATGAAAAAGGGGTTTTCTCATGGTCGCTAGATAGGATGATAATACAGAATTCTTCTTTACTTAGAGACTTAGGCTTCGTTCACATGCAATGTCTATTTTCTAAATTCTATTTTCTATTTGCGCTATCTTATGATCACGGTCTGTGCCCTGGATATCCCGCCGCGTAATTACTGGCAGCGCGTGCCAGTTACTTATAGTAACTTATAGTAACTGGCTCGCGCTGCCAGTAATTACGCGGCGGGATATCCAGGGCACAGACCGTGATCATAAGACATGCCGCAAATAGAAAATAGAATTTAGAAAATAGACATTGCATGTGAACGAAGCCTTAATAACATTAGTCATATTTGACATTTCGGTCCACCACTTATGGACCTTGGTCGTGAATGGTGATTTTAATTTTAGAGTAAAACTGATACTATGATATCAGAGTTGTGTAATTATTTGCTATCGGCATGGGTTTAGATATTCTGATTTAGATAATATCCTTATTCAGTTCAGTCAAAATGCTCTTGAAATGTACTGGAAGACCGTGTCAACTATGAAGGTTCGATCTGTTTGTCACGTCACTGGACACTGGTCTTGATTGGCAAAGACCTACTCGACTCCTGCCTTTGTTGCATTTTTTTTTTTTTTTTTTTTTTTTGCTCCTCTATTGTAAAAAATGAAAAAAGAATGCACTTCTGAGTTATATAATGTAAGACATTTTGGGGCCACTAAAGTGCTATGTGTTGACAAAAGAAAATGTTCCCTATTAATTTGTTTTAATGTATTTTATTAAGTTAACAAAAAAGGTATTTTCACTAAAATGAAATATATATACATGTAAAAGTCTCTGGATTTATATCCAAAACAAAACAAAAATAAAGAATAATAAACATTAAGATGTGTAACTCCAGTACCCATCTTCTTAAGACGAGAGTTAGTGACTTAGTGCAAAAATTCTCATCACAAGGACCCCCATGCTTTCATCATGCAAACAAATTATATTTCATACACCAAACTGTGGTGGAGTCAAAGGTGCTCATCTTCTATACAGCATAGAGAAACCTTATCTTGCAGTAAATGGCTACAGATCAAGTATAGCCGTTCTGCAAGAACCCCTGCAGCTTCTCCAACAGTCAGGGTGATTGCTTGTTATTTATGGGCAGTGTTAGTCCCCTGTGGCGAGCTATATTGAGGATGGGATTAGGGAAATGGAAAAAACCTGTTAAACGTATCATGTCGCCTCTTAAGTCTGTGATTTTATGCTAGGTTTGATGAACTTGGGTGTATATTTCTGCCCTAAGGGAAGGGTCTTTCTTTCTAAAGATTGATCATCGGGCTTCTCAGCCAAAGTGGTCCCGAGACCACCTTTACAAAAGAACAGAAGTCAAAAGAAAAAAAAATTTCCAATGAAATTTAACAGTTAGTATAAGGAAGCGTTCCCATAAACCCAGCGTACAAGCTGGATCGATCTAACTCTGCAGGGATTCGCGGCTTAAATGTCAGACATGCTTAGTCAAGCTGCTAGGGGATATATTAACGATAGTAATGGAAAGGAAACATTCAGTTTTATTTCGGTAGAGAACAAGTCTAAATCCTCTTTCTTTTGTTTATGACAAACTTGAGTCTCGAAACAGTGCTGTGGACGGAGAGGGTGGGGGGGGGGGGTAATTACGTGTTAGGTTACTTTTGGACATTCTTAATGCCTAGCTTGGTCATGTGGTACATGCATTGAAATCAGGTACATGTGGTTGCTTATATCTTCATGTTATGTTTTTTTCTTCATCTCCAGCTGACGTCCCGCGGCAGTACTGAATCCTTGGAACATAAGCGGTGGAGCTACCCTGATGGTCAGGGGCACGTGAGAACCAAAAGCTATGATGCCGTGGTTTTTGATGTGCTGAAAGTGGCACCTGAAGATTTTGCAGTAAGTGATTTCAACTAGTAGATAAATTGATGGTTGGAAAAGTATGTTTTTTGTGGTCAGTTTTGGATCAATGGGGTTTAAAAGTTGAATTATGAATAAAATGTTTCAATGATGAAGTTGTTGCCTTAAGATAAATGCATTTGTTTTCCTTCTTGCAGAGCCAGATAACTCTCATGGACCTTCCTGTGTTCAAGTCTATCCAACCTGATGTAAGTACTTCTGAACACGTGGAGAACTTGAAGTCACACCTACCCTATCTGGTTTGACTTCATAGACTTAAAACTTTGCCATGCTCCTCACAAGTTGACTTTCAGAGCCATTAAAACATTCACAATGAACTGTGCTGTATTGTCTAATATGAATAGAAATTAGAGAACACTCCCCCGTCATCATTTCCAAGTAAGAGACCTTTAGCAGAAATTAAAAGCAAATGGAAATGAAAGCAGTGACCTCTTGGGGCATTCTTTGTTCATTTTTGCATATATCTCACAATGCCTACCCACCCCCACCCACCCACCCATTGAGGTTAAACTTGGGACTTTTTTTCTTGCAAGCACCCATCCATCAAGATTTATACCATCTGTTCAATTTAATGTAAAAAATATTCTATATAAACTCCATGTTTTGCTCCAGTCTCTTATGCTGTGTGCACACTCAAGTACTGTTCAGACATGAAATGCTCTCATTAGACTCGGAGGAGCTATTCCATCATCTCTTACAAATGTCACTGAACATGGAGAAGAATGAGAACAAATGGTGCTGGCATTGCACCAGATTACATTACTGCCTGTTTTCTTCATGATTGTTTGTACCCTGGGCTACATGGCTTGGTAATGGAGACGATCACTGGGCTCCTTTATGATTGCCTTAATGTGCCCTGAATTACATGACTTTGTTATTAACATCCATTACGCTTGCCAGCACCCTGGGTTACACTGTTTTATAATGTAACTCTTTTCTGAATATCTCCATACAACTTGAATTACAAGGATTTTTAGTGGATTTCCTTTGAGATGTTTTAATACATGCGGAGTAACAAGGCTGTGCAATGAAGCTCCCCAGTGCGTTTCTCAGCCTATCCTGAGTTACTAGTACGAGGTTTTTAAGTGAAGTTCCTTTGAGATGTTTTTAGTACACCCTGTAATGAAGCTCCTCGTGATCAGTGATGGTCCCGGTACACTTGAAACTCCAAATCCATCCACAATGAGTGTAACAACTTTGGAGTAAAGCAGATTAATGTGATTTTATTTTTGCAATCAGCTATGTTCAGCAGATCACTCTAGAGCCATGTTGGCAGCACTTTTCATCACCCTGACAGGCCTGAAAAAAACTTTGAAAGCCTGTTATTATGGAGTATTTTGATTGTCAAAATTGAAATTATATCTCCCAGGACCCTGTGTGATTAAATGTCCTATTTGTATTCAACCTGTGTATTCGCGCAAGTTTTTCCACAGCTCCACTTTAATTTAAGTTCATTATTAGCCCCTGGTTTCACACTCGCACGNCAGTGCACAGACCGTGATCATAAGACATGCCGCAAATAGAAAATAGAATTTAGAAAATAGACATTGCATGTGAATGAAGCCTAAATGTCCTATTTGTATTCAACCTGTGTATTCGTGCAAGTTTTTCCACAGCTCCACTATAATTTAAGTTCATTATTAGCCCCTGGTTTCACACTCTCACGGACTCACCAATTTATAACTAACAGATTGATAGCTATCCCCTCATCCTCTCTCTCTCTCTTTCTCTCTCTCTCTCTCACACACACACACACACACACACAGATGACTAAGTGGTGAAACATGCCCATGTTGGAATGTGGTTTTCTGTTATAATATGATCTAACAGCTGATGATGATTGCTGCTGACATCATCCATTTAATGTTAATCAGTTAATAAATTGTGCAAATATTGGTGATAGCCTTTTGATTACACTAATCAAACTTAATCACTGTCAGAAATCATGATCCGTTTTGTTCAATGAGAATTATTACTGACTTGGAGGTTAAACATTTTAAATTAGTTTTGCTACCATTAGTAACAATTTGATATCACAATTTGCAGGGATAAGATTTTGTCAAAATCCTTAAATGAATAATCCAAGGGAGGACAATCATTTTGATGTGATAATTGTTTATTTTTTTAGGAATTAACCACTTGTGCATGGACCACCAAAGAAAAACTTTCAAAGGCTCCTAATGTGGTAGCATTTACAAGGAGATTTAATCATGTAAGTTATGAACATTTTGCCTATGAAAATTCAAGGAAAAAAATAAAACTTAAGTAATAAATATGTACAGACACAGTTGTGTCACCAAGTCGTTTACAGAATAGATATTGCAATAACCTGTTGTTTATCAGTGCTGCTGAAGATGGAGCCAGAGGTAGAGCTGTGTACGTTTCTTGTTACCACAGCTATTGGAAGGCATGCACTATTTTACCAACTCCATGGATTGCTCAATAGCCTAAAATTCTGGTCAAGTTTGAAACTGGGCATTATCTGATTATTTCGTATAATTTTAATTTTATAGAAACTGCCTCCAAAATGATTAGTTACTCTTTTTAGTTGAAATCTGCTTTATCAAAATGAGGTGAGAAAGATGTCGAACGAGTCAATTTTTTAAAATGTTTAAATTTTTTTTTTGTATTCTGTATGATTAAAATTTTGATATTTCATTTTACTCTCATTATATTTCACTGCAGGTTAACTTCTGGGTACAAAAGGAAATTTTATGTTGTATGACACTTCAGAAGAGGGCTGAAGTTTTAGCACATTACATCAAAATTGCAAAGGTGAGATTTGATAACCATTCCTTATTGAACTTCCAAGATGGAAGCACAATGGCCATATTGATGGTATTGGCATTTTGCACTGTGCAACTGCATATCATGGCTTTTTTTGTCCCAGGTGTGCTTATATGCCTATGCCCCAATTTCAGTGTGCATCGAAAAGTTCACCTAATTGGGACATAAGCATACTCAGCACCTGTGCTATATTTTATATATATGTAGTTACTTGGTGCACATATCAAATATGTGAACTGTGTTTAAAAGGGACAAAATACCAGAATTATCACTGTACTTAAGTACCTCGTTCTTGGGAGTTCAATCCCCCTTGATTGAGCTTGTATAAGTTTTAAGTTTGATGAATGTGTATTATATTATAAGAAAACTAAGATATATTTCTCTCAGCAAATATACTTAACCTTTCTGAGATGTTGTATTTTATTTTTAAATTTAATTTTTTCCAGAAATTATTAGAGTTAAATAACCTCCATGCTGTGATGGCAGTCATATCAGCATTACAAAGTGCTCCTATATTTAGGTTGTCCAAAACTTGGTCGGTAAGTTGCTGCAAAGAGGCTGACCTTTGAGATAAATATTTTACATTTCTTTAGTAGATGAAAGGATAAATTTGAATCAAATCTTTTTAAAGTTTAACTCACTTGATACTTATCTAGATGTTTTTTCTTCTCTAACAGAAAAAAATAATTATGTTGCAAAGACCTTTTGACAAAATAAGTAAGCCACTTTTGTGAAAAGAAAACAATACATGCAACTGTAGAAATTATCTGTATGTGTACACTCACCAAAAACAGTTTATGATCAGTTCTGTTTGATATTTTTGCAGATGTTATCAAAGAAGGATAAGGCCAGCTATGAAAAAATTGCAGATTTATTTTCTGAAAATAACAATCGTCAACGGTTGCGTGACTATATGAGCAGTGTACGGCTTCCATGTATTCCATATCTCGGTAAGTACACGTAAATCATATTCACATCAGGTTTATCTTAGACCTGACCTGGTTTCAAGAATGATTGGAAGACAATTATTTTTTTATAAAAACTGACATTTTAAGTAAAAGTTACATATTGAATTTGTGTAGTCATGTCATTGTAATTTAGTTAAAATCTTGCAAATTTAACCTGTAAAAGATGTTACTTAAAAAGATAGCTCTTGGTATTTCATTCATAAATTAATTTTTTGTTAGCACATGCTCTTTTTTTAAACAATTTCATTAAAAGTAAGATGCCTGTAAAAGATATGTAATTTTTAAACAAATTAATATAAGACAACAAGACATTCTCTTTAACCAGATTCAGTTTCATATTTGATATGGCTGACAATGTTTTGTGCTTCCAGGTTTATATTTAACAGACATGATCTATATAGACGTTGCTCACCCTCACTCTGGTGGTCTGGAGAGTCGGCCGCGGAGACTGCAGATGAACAACATACTGAGGGTCATTTCAGAATATCAACAGTCTAGTTATGGTAGGTTGACCTTGACAGTTTGAATAACCCTGAGTCGGGGAAATGTGTCTCCAGACTTTCTGTATGCAAAGTTACCATTATTGGCTATTCAGATGATGGCTAAGAATTGGAGGTAGTACACCTTCAGATGGCCTTTTTACAAAAAATCTAAAATTTTATCTTTTAGTTGCCTAAACTCCACACATTGTCGTAACAAAGCGTACTAGGCTGTAGCAAACTGGGTGTACTTCACAAAGTGTCTATAATTTTAGATTCATGGTAGCAGGGAGGGAGGCTGTAATTATTTTAGTAGCCTCTACCCAAGAGCGCAGTTAGTTACTCTCAGTCCAAAACACAGCTGATGAAATTCTTTGCTTTATGTACACATTATTATAGAACAACAAGTGAAGATATGTATAAATTTGTTATACTGTTACTCTAAAATGGTTTATTACCTTTGAAAAAATCCTTTGGGAGATATGATAAAGGTATTTTACAGGGAGTATGTGCCCCTCTGCAGGATAATCTTTGTTGAAGGTCAAAAATGTTCTATATGGAAATATTATTTTGTCTTCTTTAAGAAACCTGGCCTTGGCATTTTGTAGGTTGTTTTCGTCTATTTATTAAACTTTCTTTTAGCCACACTCAAAGTTTGTCTGATGCCTTGCCCTTGGTCCAGTTTTCTCATTGACCTTGACCTTGTTTTTTATTTACAGCTAACTTGCCTGTGTTAGAACATATAAGAGGGTACCTCTTGTCTGTGAGGTACATTGAAGAACTGCAGAAGTTTGTGGAGGATGACAATTACAAGTAGGCAGTTATTTGATTTATTACCAGTTTCCCACCCAAAAAAAATTAAAGTGGGGGTTTATGATGAAGTGTAGTGCAAGCTTTTTATTTAAAAATATTACTGTTGCTTAAAATAAAAATCTGTATTTAATGTTTTATTTATTTATTTTTTTATTTCATTTATTTATTATTTTTTTTTTTTTTTGTGTGTGTAGAGTCTATAATATTTATCCTTTATCTTATTATTTCAGATTATCTCTAAAAGTTGAGCCGCCAGCCAGCAGTAGTAGCAGTAGCAGTACCAGTAATAGTGGTGTGACCTTATCAAGGTCACGGGATGACCTAAGCAGTTTGCCACACCCCTCCTCCAGTGCAGATCTGCTCGGTGCTCCAAAAGTAGTCCAAACCCCAGGAGGGTCCAAATTTGTCCCAAGTCACAGAAAGTCCAGGAGTTTAGGGACCAAGTAAGTTTACTTTGCAGCACCTCCAAATTGTAGGTTCATATTGTTCAACCATATTTGACAAATGAGAAAAAGAGTAAGGAAAAATGTTATATTTTAAAGAAAAAAAAAATATTTGCAAGGAAAAGAATTTTGGAAGGAGTTATGAAATTACATGATAAGGAGATTTTATTGTTTGTTTTCAAACTGATTTTTTAAAGTCAAAATGGAACTGAAAGTGACTGGAATTGACAGAATTCATAAATGTTGCAACTGTGTCGCCATTTGGAGTTTGACCATTCACCACTATTGCCAAGACAACTGAAATATATGATAACCAGTTACCTACATCCATTTTCCCTCCAGTTTTCTGTATACAAGTCAGGGCCCTGACAAGACTCAAAGTCTTCCTACAAAAATGACAGACCCATACATCAGAGGCCAGCGCCATCTACTGGATGATAGCGTCTTGGAGGAGTCGCCGTCTGCCTCCAGTGAGGGTTCCTCCTGTTTAGGGAAGAAAGGTAATATTTGCTTACGAAATGATTTATTTAATAATTGCAATTATAATGGAAGTTCCAATTTGAATAAGACTAAAAAATTAAAGTTGAGCATGTGATAACAGTGAAGTGTGTTGATCCTTGGAAGTAAAACCCCACTTGTCAGTAGAGAAGTATTGAATACTTTGAGTTGAGAGTCTTCCAATCTGTACAGATGATTGCAGAGTTCAATCAGTGACCACTGGAAAATGACCAGTCCAGTGGAGTTGGCTGTCACCCCTGAATTATCTACACTCTTCACATCTTTGTTCTGCGTGTAAGTTCCTCCGATTGAGTGATGCAGAAGGCCTTCCTTTGAATACACTGCTGATAAATGTTGATCGCTGTTTGGGATGATCACATTTTTCCTTTGAACATTTGTAAGACTTCTGCACTACTGTTAATGTTTTGTGGCCTTACAGATAGCGTGACAGGCTCAGACACGAGCAGTGAACATGAGATGTTTTGGCCTGTTAGAGACAGGTATGTAATGATTATAAATATGTAGGAGTATGAGCTGATTCAGCTGTATTGGAAACTGAAGTCAGAATATTATATAAATGATATGTTTTAAATTCTAATAACATATCAATTACATATTTACATCTAGAGATTGTTTTTTTTTTTTTTTTTTTTTTTTTTTGTTTTTTGTTTATGTTCTTTTAATGTAATTATTATTATTATTATGAGCTGTACAATGAATCAATTAAAAAAGAAAAGAAAAAAAAGATAGAGATTAGAAAATTATAAATGGAAAACAATAAATAAATGAATATTAAAAATTAAAGATATAAGAAAAAATCTAAGTAAAAACAGTCAACTTGATGTACGGAGTGCAGAGAAGTATTTCAGTCTTGTCTGCATCTTCTTGTAGCTTTGTTTATAAACAGGGTTTCCATTGTGTTTGGGTAACTGATGAGTTACATTCGACTTGAGTAAAGAGAATTATTTCAGCCTGGTGTCTTGTCTGCTTCTTGTAGCTTTGTTTGTAAACAGGATTTCCATTGTTTTAGGGTAACTGATGAGTTATATTCTGCAAGTTTCACGTGCCAAGGGTGCCTGAAAAGGAAATCGGTGCTAAGGCATGGGAGAAAACCTACAGTAAGTTTTTTTATGTTTGGTATATTTTATATATATATCAACACCATACTGGAGCTACAATTGAGATTTTTTTATTCTATTAATTTTTTTTCAAGAAATTAATGTTTTAACAAATTAAATATAAATGTTTATATGATAATCTTACATTTTAGTTAAATTGGAAATAATTGATATGTCAGTGCAAGACTGAGCTTAGTGTTTATATTGGATGCTTTAATAATTTCACCTCCACTCTGTCTTGTAAAGTCCGTTTTCCCAGATTTTCTCAGAATAATGCTATTGCTGATGAAGACAACAGTAGTTAACAGGTTGCCTTACCATCAATTTAACAAGAAGAAAATTCGCAATCTGGTGAAAACTGTAACCTTGAAATATATGGATATGGACAAACCTTCATGTCTCTCACAGTGCCATCTTTTTTTTTTCCTGAGTGTCCAGTATGTGATATATAGTGTTTATTGGATTGATACAGCATAAATTAAAATATACACTGTTATTTGACCAATGGGTTGTTCTATTTCAGATGTCTTCCTGGAAGGAGTACTGGGTAGCTCTGTGGGGGACATCTCTGCTCTACTACCCAACTAAAACAATACGGTCCCGGGCAGACAGATCTGGGGTGAGTGTGCTAGGTGTGACAGTGTGCTAGGTGTGACAGTGTGTTAGTTGTGACATTGTGTCAGGTGTGCCTAGATATGAGTGTGTGTGTTTTGATTTACAGTGTGTAAGGTGTAACAAATACTGGGCAATTCAAATTTTGCCAAATTCAGTGAAAATAAAATGCATTGTCTGTAACTTTTTACAATGTGAGTTTTATGACTAAAACCAAAAATTATCCTAGTAAATTGTTGATGATGTTACAGATATCAATTTTTTTTCAGTTCATTTGCGTTATGTTTCAAGATCACACCATACCTGTGCCAGCACGCATCAGATTTACATTCTTTTTGTTTCAGTTCAAGTCAGATCCCAGTAAAATGATGTCCATAGTAGGCTGGATGGTTGTGATGGGGGACGACCCCCTGCATCCTGGAACTTTTACCCTCACAGATCCTACCAAAGGTAAAGTTAAATATTTAACTGGGCTGATGCATCAGGTATAACATTAGAGCAGGGATATTTATTTTCTAGCATTATTGTATATGTGTAGGAAGTAAAGTGTTAGGCATGACATGATTATTAGTGTGTCAGTATGGGGGCTGTAGCAATAGAGCAAAGGTTCAATAGTACGAAGATTCATTGGTCCAAATGTTCACCATAAAACCTTCGGCCCAATGAACCCTCTAAAAATCGATGAAAATGTTACCATTTTTCGGACCATTATCTTCGGACCAATGAATCTTGGGACTATCAAGACGCCCCCTCAGTATGCTTAAAACATTTTAACCTACTGCCCCCAATGCCAGAGTCTAGGAGTCTATTCCAAAGCGAAGCAGGAACGGTGGCCAGTAACTGAACAATTTACAAATCTAGTATTTTTTAATTCATTTCTGGGCACACAGTCCATGATTACATGATAGATATTTCTCACCAGTTAAGATTTTATATGTGCACAAATTTAATTCAGTTTTCACCTTTTTCAGGAGATGTGTATAAATTCCGTGCTAGTGATTCGGACAAAGCATTAGAATGGTGCAGGCACCTGAATAATGCAGCTAAAAGTCACATAGTTCAGGTAAGGGAGGGGAAATAGTGTTAGTATACTTTTGTTTTTAGGGTTTTCCAAAATAGATATTGAAACTGAATCATTCATTCTCATGAAAATCCTTCAACTTCAGAAGATTGGTAGAATATAACCTTTTGTTATACTTTGTTTCGTGCAGAATTATGTAACTCAATTTTTATGCTCTGTTGTAATTGATAATTTACTGTCATGTTTATCGTTATTTTGAACAAAATTAACACCTCAAGCATGTTCACTTTTAAAGATGTAGAAAGTCAGTTGTTCAATAAAAAGCTTTCACACTGAGTAATATACAAACAAGTGTTATGTCATGTTTAGAAATAAAAAGATTTGCTTTGGTTTAAAAAAAGAAAACTAAATGTGAAAAACAAATTAATCTCTTTTTATTTTCTTTACAGCCCCCAGCCAATTTAATGTCCTTTGAATAAGGAAGATAATTCAGACCAGCAGAGGGTGTTGAAAGCAAGAAAGGCCAGTGTCTCAACACATCTTGTTTATACTTGTGATATACCTATGAACTTTGAATGCAGGGACAGACCCTCTCCTATTTGGGTTCCTATTCACAGGTCTAAATCTACAGTGGAAGGACTTCCATAGAGAAGATATTCTATGAAAAAAAACTATGTGACTAGTGATTTACTTATGTGTGCCTTGTCATCGTATTCTGTGTGCTATGTCATCATATTTTGTGTACTTCATCATGGCACAGTAAATGGAACAGTTTGTCAGCATTAGGTGAGTGGATACGGAGAGAAAGAAAAACTTGGAACACCCTCTCCTACCTTGCTGCCTTCCATCTACTGGACTTATTCACTCATCAGAACTGCTGTCATGTATGTAACTGACGCCTACGCCTGCGGCAACTGTTCATAAGCACTACCTTCAGATAAATATGGAGGGCATGTGACATATCAGTTACTTATCCATGAACATGTGAGAGATGATGAAGTGGAATAACAGTATTTAAGGATGGCAGTGTTGATGTTTCATTTCTTTAGCACTGGCTTACTATAATAATAAGTTCTTCTTACTACAGACACTGAAAATTTCTACCAGCATTTCATTGCCTCTGCTTTTAATGGATAAAAGAATTAGTGTTATTGCACTGGAGAATTTTTTTTTAAATCAACCAATGGCATATTCTTTGGGACAGTATGGGATTTGTTATTTTTGCAGTATTGTTCAAAATTTACTCTGACAACAAAAGTTTATGTGCACCGTAATTTCTTGATATTATATTTATATGAATATGGTATTGTAAAAGGAAATGGTTAGGAGAAAGAAACCTTATGATAATTGAACTGTTGGCACTGTTTATCCCTTCTTGGTGATCTTAGTCATCAACAAAGTTCACGGGTCCAGAAAAGGAATTTCATTCTTCCTATGAATCGTAACCACTATCTCCTTCCAAAAATTAAGTTTTCTTGATTCAGTTAATCATTTGTTAGGTTAAGATAGTGCTTTGTTTTCAGGGCTATGTGATTTCAGGTTGTCTGACAACTTAAAGTGGACTGATTTACACAAGATAGGATGGCAGTTTTACAAACCTTCTGTTACATCAACTGTTTGCAATTGTCCAAACACATAGAACTGTCACCAGTCCATAAAGAAGCCTAGATGTTATTGCGCTGTCTGTGCTGCATTATTCAGCAGTCTGGCCAGTGGATATGTAAAAAGTGGGCAAATTCTAGTGTTAATTTGTATCTTTATCATTAAAGATAAAAACATCCATAGCCAGTGTGCACATGGTATAGGTTTATGTAGTTCACAGTGCAATTGTCAGTTTGGAACATCATGGGACATCATCCATGGCCATGTTTTATTTATTTATTTATTTGTTTGTTTATTTATATTTATTTGTTTATTTACTATTTTTATGCAGGGCTCAAATTGGGTACAGTATATAAAGAGGAAATGATCAGCTGATGTCAATTGACATCTGTGAAATTGTTTTCAGTGCTAGAGTTCGCCTCACAAAAGAATTTAAGTTCAAAGTTGGTCTTTAACACTGAAAAAGTACCCTCAACTTTGAATCAAATACAGCAGTAGCAAGCCACATGAAATGAGGGTATTACATCTGTTGTACAAATAAAATATGAAATGATCAATATTTTGGACATAGTGTCTTTGTATTAGTGAACTACTGCAGGTTTATTAAGAAGTTGGCCAATTTTTTTTAGTCTTTAAGTAGTTGATGTGTACTAAGGAGGCCAATAACTGGGAGCTGTTTTAGACATGGAGTGCATAGTGGTACATTTTTTTTAGTTGGTTAGATCTTTTTTTAAAGCATGGTTCACCTAGGTAGTACATATTTGCTTCTATTTGCCCTCATCAAGTTTGTTTGTATGTGTGTGTGTGAGAGAGAGTGAGTGTTTTTAAGGTAAAGAAAACAAGGATTCACTCCTAAACAGTTAAAGTTTTGAAGAAATGTTGAGTATTGAAATCAAGTTATGTTTCTTCATCTACTTTGATGTGCATTTTATTTTTAGAGGAACTGAAAAATGAAAATGACTTTTACAACATTCTGAATGTGTATGTAGAGATAGGTAACATTTTGAAAAACTGTTATGACCTATAAGTTGATTTATGCTTTTCCCTTTTAACTTGTGGTTTTTAAAATTTGTTCTGTTATCATACAATATTACAAAATATATAAATGAAAAAGTTTGGAACCGTGTTTTTATCTTTTGTATTTCACACAACGCTTCAAAACATTTCCTCATTCGGCCTTTTGTATTCTAACTTTATACAATAATTGACTTTGGGTGAGATCATCTCCACAATTTATTGCCCCCAAGCTAGGATAATTTACCTCCGCCTTCGGCCTTCGAATGTCACCTGCACAAAGTAATGGGGAACGGACTACCATTCCTATTCCTATCACACCCGGTACACCAATCTGACAAGACGTGCACTGTGCAAAACTTGTGACTGTTATTACGCAATCACATTCTCGAAATGACTGATCCAAGAGAAAGGAGAAAAAAAAATCTCAGCAAACGAGTAACAGGGACCGACTTTCAAGAATGATCAAAAATTGATGCGGTAGCTGTAGAAAACGCAGCTTTGCGGTGACATAAAAGCATTAGTAATACGTGGAACCCCTAACTCTTATATTACAAGCCTTGTTAGATATTCTGAATGGGATTAGGTCTTGTCGATATAATACATGCATTTTGAAACTGTCCTTATCTCCACTGCGAATGTACCGCATTTGTATGTGTAGCATCCTGTAGGTTATTGTCCACGTCTTGAAAATACAGGATCCTCGAATGCCAGTGGGTTCTTCGTCTTTTAAAAAGTAGAAGCGTTCTTCTCAAAATGCAACTTGCAGTTGATGTTCAAATTGCACTTCGAGCTTAATATTACAAAAGGTTTAATAGGAGTGTGAGTGAAACATTACATTAATTTGAATAAAATGAGCTTGCTGTCCAAATTGGCCGAGTAAATAGATTTTTACGCTCGGCATGATGGCTTAGTGGTTAGCGAGTGGCTCCAGGTTTGATATCTAGTATCAAGCTTTTTTCATTACAAAATGCAAACCTATATTCACCGGCTGGTCAATATGTTCTGATATTTGGCCTGCACATGACTGCGCTCGACCAATTGGGCGTCAAAATTTGTGACCACATATCAAGAAAAAAAAAGCAACCAATTTGTTTCTCATTGATCTGCGTCATTCCGTCTGAGATAACGAGTCGGTTGTATTGTTTCATTCGTTCCCAGTATTCTTCAGTAGTGGTCCATAAGGTCCGACTGGAATTATGTTTAGAAATCCACACGCCTTTCCATTTTTGCGAGTGTAAAATATTGGGAGTGTTATAAATGCTCCAAATTAATTACTTTTGGATCTGTTAACTTCATATTCCTTGCCATTATGTCATGATTTGAACACTAAGGCTGAAACTTTTTCTATCAATGGGGTGAGTTGGTCAGCCAATAGGGGCAGTCAAATTGACGCATCCTCTCTTGTGAATGGCACATTTAGTGTGGTTAGCGGTCTTCAAAATTTATTATTTTATACGTTTTTATACAAAATCTATAATCAAAAATGTCTCTTGCAATTATAGAATTGGTTTGAAACAATACCGAGGGACACCTAATAGACTACAGCTAGGATCGACCATTTTTGGTGAGAGTTTTTTCAAAGGTAACTTTCCCGATCCATGGAGTATACGGGTTCGAAGTACGTGAAGTTGACTGGAGGAGCATTTTGTCTCTTTTTTAGGCAGTGCACTTATAGAATAATATGTGCATGGAGTGGCATCACATTTTGGCTTTCTTAGTCTAAAATGTGCCATAAAATATAGCACAGGTGCTGGGCCTACGTATGCCCTGATTTTAGTGTGCATCGAGACGCTCACCGATTCGGGGTATTATGAAACACAAAGCGCTGTGTGTATAAGGCTGCGTTCACATGCAAATACTATATTCTAAAAAACTAAAAATCTATTTGCGGTATCTTGTGATCACTGTCTGTGCCCTGAATACACCACGGCGTAATTACGGGCAGCGCGAGCCAGTTACTTCCAAAGCTGTAATTAATTATCGGCGCTGCCAGTAATTACGCCGAGGGGTATTCAGGGCATAGACCATGATCACAAGATACCGCAAATAGATTTTTAGAAAATAGATTTTTCATGTGAACGGTCCCCAAGAGACAAAATGCAAGAATCATCAAGCTACTCAACGTACCTCTGTTTTGGGAGTTGAAACCCTTTGGTGACGGTTGCCTTGTGGCTGCTCTATAATCAAAGTGATCTGCACCTGCCTCCAATTACGTAGCAGAAACCTGTTTGTTAACGTTTTAAATCACGTATCTAACATTAAGCTTTCTTGTCTGTTATAACATTGTATGCGCGTCGTACAGCAGGTAATGTTATAACCAGACACACGCAATATGTGCTCCACACCGAACAGGTGCGCTGAAATATTAAATTAGTTTTTCAATTTTTCCTTTATTCCAAGAAAGTTGGGGTGAATGTTCGTATCACGAAACATTCTCTTTTGAAGTTAAAAGTACACTTCTGGAAGTTTTCGGGTTACAATCAATGAATTGTGTCTGTCTTCTGACAATTGCGACTGGTCTAGATCAAGCGTATTTACTGAGCTGAGAACAGAAATAACTCTAGAATCGTATTTGCATTATCAATTAATTTACAGAGATGCACGACCAATCAAGTGTAATGAGTTTGAGTCACAAGTGCACACTTCCCACAATGAACAACATTTTTCGAAAGTAAATGCACACCACATTTTTTATGTAGTCTTCAGAACTAAAATAAATTACAATATTTCTGTGGTTTAGTTTCTGTCATAACTGTGGCTTTATACAGCACTTTTGGATATTACACTAATTTCAATCTGCCCTAAACAGTTTTAGGTAAGGGGATCGACGGTGTAATACGATCGGTGGTGTACCCGCTTGGGTTATCAGTTCTGAATACATGAAAAGGGCGTTTTTAAAGATATATCAATAAGCGACATTAACTGGGAATTTAGCCATCTTATCCCGTTCTTCGCAGTGAAACTGACCCCGACGTCATGGTACCTTCGATAGTTCGTAGTGCTCGCAGTATGATCCTATCACAGACAGCCGCAGCAGGCTCGACGGCACGGCTGAGTCTACCCGGGCATTCGCAGGTGGCGATAAGGTCTGAGCTACAATCCGGGAGATTCATACAGCAAAATTCACACACGAATGGTGGGTCAACAGCCACTGGGGGAAAAATGTTCCTGCACCGACCCCACTCCAGCAGCGCAACCGACAAGACGTTGGCGCAGTTTCTTACCTGGGACGCCGATGGTAGACTTTGAAACGCGTAACATTTGTTCTGCAGTGTTGGAGACAAATTACAGCCAGTCTTGGTGAGAATGGATCCTACGGTAGGGCTTGGTGGGTGACAGGACTGACATGCTATCAAGTCTAGTACCTTGCATATGTGATTCCTGACGATGTCTCCCTTGTTACAACTATTTCCACCGGCCTCTTGTCGTTGTTGTGTGAGAGCGGCACAGAACGGATCATATGGAGGACACCCAAAGATATCAACACTGGGAACCTGGTGTGTGGCTTCTAAATTAGTCACCGCGCACAAGAGAAACGCTCTGAAAAGTCCTGCTTTCATCACTGCGACCATAGTATTTAAAATCAGTCCATTAGGAAGTGCCATTAAGTAAAGATTTCGAAGTGAGGCTGATGCCTATGTTATGACTGCCTTTCATTATCTTAAAGGATAAAAAGCACGATTTTTTCATTTTATAAAAAGAAATAAATTATTGGCTTGTTTCACCTTCGTGTGGCACGCAGAAAACATTTTAACTTTTTCAGTTGTCAAAGAAAACATCGAAATTTGAGATAGCACACCGAGGCAGTGCACGTCCAGAGAAGATCCCGAGCGACATTGAAAAGCGCGTTCAGAAACAGTGTTTTATTTTTATTCATTAATTGATTTTATTCTATTTTATATTTATTTTTTATTTTATTATTATTATTTTTATTTTTGTGTGTGTGTGTGTGTGTGTGTGTGTGTGTGTGTGAACAAAAAAAAACATAGTTGCCTTTTTTTAGCATTTAGAGAAGAGCTAAGTATAAATAGGGCGTTATATAAATCTTTTACAACGAGTAATCCGCGCTGACTAGTTTAGAAGCCACACACCTTTATATCTTTAAGTCAATTTAAATTGTCTCCTTTTTTATGGTTTAACTATGTATTGTTAGGTGACAATGCCAAGTCTGTACTTTACCAATGTGATTTTGCCGATACACGCGATCTGAACATCGTTATTTCAGTACATGGACGATCTACACGCAGTCTACGCTGTTATAACTTTTCCTGCTAAATAACGTTGTCATGCGTAGACGACATTAAGTCTTGTAGCAGTCTCTTGAAAGAACAATGGAAATTACGGCGCAAAATGCATAATAAATGGATTTTGGCCGTATATATATATATGATAATTCTCCCTTCAACTATAATGTGACCTTATATATTTATTCTTTCAAATATTGTGTCCAAACTCCATCATTTAAAATTTTTAATTTTTATCGCAATCATTATCTTCTTGCGATCTAAATTTTAGTAATTTTTTTTTATTTTCAAAATGCCATATCTATGTCAAACGATATTTATCAGTCACAAAGCCCGCTTCTATGGGTAACAAAAATTAATCTTATTACATTAATGAATTACAGGTTATATGATACAAATGCTGGACATAATGTTGCAAATTAAGGCAACTGGATATGATAACTATAAATGGTTATTTTGATTAATTCAGTAACTGAGCTGTAGCTTTAAGGTTACTGACAGGGTTTACGAGTATCAAACTACCGAAAATAAGTTTTTTTTGTGCATTTAATTAT